TACAAACGTGCAAAATGAAGGTGCAAGCTCCAAGTTATCACTGTTATCCTTTCTTCACTACACTTTATAACAAGAATATGGACAGAGTAGAAGAAAAATATACTAAATATTTCCATACAATTGGCTCTCTTTAGAAATGTGCGTGTCTTGAGAAGCTTGTGTGCTGCATATGAAGTTGAATTGTCCTCTTGTACTAGAACGCGGTGCGGGAAACCTGTGATCTGTATGCGTTTTCCCGCACAATGTTCAGAATACACTGCAGTTGCAATCTGCAGCAGGTGTGAATGTTAACACCCAAATTAAAGTTGCAAACACGGTTTGCTTGCGCCAGCTCGCTTGTTATAAATGTACCACACAATCCGGTTGCAGTGCATTGCAAAAGTAGTGTGTGCGCTACTTCTGATGTGATTTGAGTCCATTCAAAATGAATGGGCTCAAATCCCACCGCACTGAATCGCTTGTGAATCAAACAGGAACATGCAGTGTGTAATGGGTGAGCTGAGCCTAAGGGCCCTTTCACACAGGCATTCCATTATTTCTTCAGTTCATTCACGTTTTTCAAAGAAATGGATGAGTTTACATTTTTTTTTTTTCTTTGTCCGTTTTTTTTGTTTTTTTCTTTGTTTTTCTTCAGTTCAGTCACAATTTTTTTCAAGGAAAAAAATGGATGGGTGTTTTTTTGCAGAAGAAAGCTCAGTTTCTTCTGTTCAAAAAAATAGATGCGGACATTGACAGATGTAAACAAATGTTCATCTGTTTACATCCACAAATCCATAGAAATACAGGGTGGTCCATTTTTCATCCGTAAATGGACATATGGAACGCCCAATGTGAAAGGGGCCTAAGCAGGTTAGGGTCCGTTCACACCAGAACAGTGTGGTAAACTAGTGTTCTGTGCCGGTTTCTTGCATCACATTCAATTCACTTCTCTTGCAATTTGCAACGGTTGTTAATGACACCCCAAACACAGGTCGCAAACGCAGTGCAGTGGGTCACATGGTACAAAAGTACAATTTGATACAGTTGCAGTGCATTTCCAGATGTAGTGCTTGTACTACATCTTGTGGTTCGATTTCAGCCCATTCAAAATGAATGGACTGAAATCGAACTGCATGTGAATTGCCCAGGAAGCGCAGTGCATTCCTGTGCGACTTGCATGCAGTTCCTAGTGTGAATAGGCTCTTAATCTCAAGGATACATTGGTGTAATGCTTTCAGTGTGATTCTGAATTGCTTATTTGCTGTGATTTCTCTCGGGTGATTTATTGTTCCCAGTAGCAAAGCGGTTATTTTGGAAACGCTTGGTGCTTGAGCAAAACAAACACAGAAAGGATTGTTGTTCTGAGCTGTGATTTACCAGCTGTTTAAATAGCTAACCTCATTAACCTGTTTGTTTGAGATAAACCGCTCAGGTGCAAAGTGTGCCACTTGTCCTCCCTCCCATACAAATGCTTTGGTCTGATGTCATTCTCTGACATGCTGGATGAATACTCGCACTGAGCATGTCCTCAATCACAAATATGAGAATTTAGTGCTGTCATGAGTGTTTTACAACTTCTATGGAACTCCTACATGCTAGGCTTCTGCAGTAATTATAGGGATGTCCTCTGTAATAAAAGGTACAACACCTGAGGAATGTCAGCTCACAAAACAGTAGCACAATCATTTAATATCAAAGGTTCTGCCTTTGTTTATGGAAAAGCTTTTGCTTCATACATATCAATGAGACAGACCATAGCACTGGCAGTATGGTGAACAAAGAGAACCTGTCAGGCCAGAAATGTGAAAATCACAATTGATAACTAGTTTTAAAGGTGTATGCCCCAAAGCCTTCATCCGCATTCATTCGTTTTTGGAAATTGAGGAGCTCATGCCATTTCACACGGGTGTTCCATTCTTCTGGTTGTGTACCCCCCAGCAATTCACATGTTTCCATGACTTTTTTTTTTTTTTTTTTTTTTTTTTTTGTCCATTTTCCAATTGAAGACTTGACAGCAATTCATTTATATGGACTTTCATAGTAAATGGATGATTATTCATTTTCATCTGCCTATGTCAATGTCCCATTTATTTTTTTATATATATATGTATTTGACTTTTTACTTAATATAACGAATATGAATTTATTTTCAGCATCTTTCGTCCAATAGGCTGCTTTCACATTTAGCAGTTTTTGCCGCTTTTTTTGCGTTTTAAAAGCAAAGCATCCCTTTAAATTCAATGTATGCCTTCACACTGGTCTGTAGCGGTGTTAAAAAATCCTGCTTGCTGCATTTTTGGCAAGGTAAAATAAAAAATGCACCTCCCCATTGAGGCCTGGTTTACACCAATGTGTGTGTGTGTGTTTTTTTTTTTTTTTTTTTTTTTTAATGCGTCAAATGCATTCTAGCGCAACTCTGCATATAGCTGACCGAAAGTCACCTCCATCGGCTGATTCATTGACAGTCGGTCGCTATCAATGAGTGGACTGTAGCTACAAAGACCAGGTCTAATTGCTGTCACATTGATTGACATGTGAGGCTGTTTCGGATGTAAGCACTGCCACTTCTCCTGTATACTTAGGAAAATCTATTCACACTCTGAAAAGTGATCATAGCACCTTATGATTTGCACAATATTGCGTATACAATGTCTTGAAAAAGTATTCATACCCCTTTGGAATTTTCCACATTTTGTCATGTTACAACCAAAAATGTAAATGTATTTTATTGGGATTTTATGTATTAGACCAACACAAAGTGGTACATAATTAAGTGGAAGGAAAATGATAAATGGTTTTCCAAATGTGAAATGTGGCATGCATTTCTATTCAGCCCCCCTGAGTCAATACTTTTTAGAACCTCTTTTTGCTGCAATTACAGCTGCAAGTATTTTGGGGGATGTCTCTACCTACCAGCTTTGCTCAATTGTTCAATTTTGTTCTCTGACCAGAGCACTTTTTTTTTTTTTTTCTTCACATGGTTGCCCTGTCCCCCACTTGGCTTCTCCGAAATGGGACTTCTTATGGCTTTCTTCTTTCCACTCTTCCATAAAGGCCAGATTTGTGGCGGGCACAACTAATGGTTGTTCTGTGGACAGATTGTCCCACCTGAGCTGTGGACCTCTGCAGCTCCTCACCATGGGCCTGCCTCTTTGATTAATGCTCTCCTTGCCTGTTCTGTCAGTTTAGATGCATGTCCTGGGTAGGTTTGCAATTGTCATACTCTGTTTTCAGAGGATGGATTGAACGGTGCTCTGAGATGTTCAAATATTGGGATTTTTTTTTTTTATAATCTAACCCTGCTTTAAACTTTTCTGCAACTTTATCCCTGACCTGTCTGGCGTGTTCCTTGCCCTTCATGATGCTGTTTGTTCACTAATGTTCTTACACATAGGTGGACTCTTATTTACTAATTGGGGGACTTCTGAAGGCAATTAATTTCACTAGATCTTAGGGGTATCAGAGTAAAGGGGCTGAATACAAATGCACGCCACACTTTTCACTTATTTAGTTGTAAACAATTTTTGAAAACCATTTATAATTTTCCTTCCACTTCACAATTATGTGCCACTTTTTGTTGGTCTATCACAAAATCCCAATTAAATATTTTTACGTTTTTGGTTGTAACATCACAATGTGGAAAAATGTCAAGTGGTATGAATACTTTAAAGGCACTGTATAGCTTTAGGTTATTATCGGCTGCTTTTGCATATGCTTTAGTTCCTGTCCTAGCATGTAGTAGATTGATTATTTGGAGAAAATCTGTTTTGTTATCCTGTTCCTTCACTTTAAAACTCACTCTTTAGCCCTGCTGCAGACATACCAATGGACTGCTGGCTGATAGAGGGAGACAAAGACTGTAACCCATCCAGCCACCTGATATAGGAAATGGGAAGCGATGAGCCTACATCACTTCCGGTTTCCCCGGCGCCATTTTAAAAATTAAAATCATTTGATCACACTGATTTTTGTGTGATCAAATTTTTAAGGACAGAGGGATCTGGGGTCTTATTGACCCAGATCTCTCCATAAAGAGTACCTGTTACATGCCTATTACTGCCACAAGGGATGTTTACATTCCTTGTGACAGCAATAAGTGATTAAAGAAGAAAACACAGAGCGACCATACCACACGTCGGGTATCGCCACAAACATCAGAAAATGGGCAGCAATTCTAGCACTCTTTTAAATCCAAGTGGTAACATGTAAAAGCTTTTAAAGCCTATGGGTAGTAAAAATGTATATTTGTCGCTGTTGCACAGGCATGCTTAATTGTAAAGCGTGACATGTTTTTTGTATCTGTTAGCATAACCTCCTCCCTTTTTTTTTTTTTTTTTTTTTTTTTTTTTTTTTAATATATTTTACAAATTAAAATTCAAAATTTCTTTTTTACAAATTTAATGCGTTTTTTAAAAAACACTGTAAAAATACCATGTGACATTGCAGCACCCACTATTTTATTCTCTAAGGCCTCTGCTTGGAAAAAAGTGTTTGGGGATTCTAAGAAATTTTCTATCAAAAAAAATTATAAATAGTCTCCATAAAGCAACTTTTCTTTTTTAAAGGCCCCAGACAATCCCAAAAGCACCTCTGCCTAATAAAAACCTCAACCTTTAATATTTGTCCATCCTGGGGAATGTTTTTTTTTTTTTCTTGTCTAGGAAAAGTAGATTGGGACCCCGATTTTTAGTCTACTCCCCTGCATGTCCCCCCAGTGGTCACTGGAGCACTGGGTTGTGAATGGGGAGTTAGCAGCTGGCTCAGGCTCTCAGCAGCTCGCCGAGAGTGCCACTCTACTCTGGGGTGAATTGGGATCTTTTCCTAGCCTGGACCGGCCGACTGGCGTCAGCTGGCTTCAGTTCGCTGAAAACTGGCCACCAGTGCAGAACTAGCTTTGGTTGTACTTCCTCTTTTTAAGATGCAATTCCCTATTGTGTATATTTTGCTTGGCATCTTTGTTTTCTTATTGTTTTAGATGCATACAATTCTCTAATATATTTTCTAACTTGCTTGTTTTTCAGCATGCTCCCAGATGTCCAACACCACATGTGAAACCTGCCTGAAGAATGTTACGGTAAGGGCAATGCAATGCCATCTGGCTAAAATGGTATAAAATTAAAATTCCAGGAAATTATGCAAATGTTTTGTAGCGTGCTAAAGTAGTCTTCTGGCCCAGGTCCGGAAATGTCCTCATTAGTGTTCACCCATCAAAGTATAACTACGTTATCAACCAAAAATAAACTATCATTAATACCCTTTCACATATAAGATCAAACTTTCACCCTTGAAAGTGCAAATCGACACAAAAATCCAATATGTAAATAAATAACCCTAAACATATATACTAATACACATATAATAAACCCAAATAATCAAAAATAAATCCCAAAATAACCAATAAAATTAAAAAAACAAAGCGAAATTAAAAAAAAATATGTAATGTAAAAAAAAAATTCCCAAACGTAAGTCACTTGTGTTCAAAAATTATGTAAATTAAAGTCACTCCAAAAACTGTGTCCAAAATTATACAACTTATCAGATCCTTTGCCGAGCCCCTCCAATGGCTCCCAAAAGGAAAGAATGTACCTCAAAAGAGAGAACGCATATAGTGCATCTACTTAATAAATTTAAATGTCATACCCATATCCCATATGCATTTGTGCAACTTCAAAAAATTGTGTAAAATTAATATAGTGAAAAATGTAAACACCTGTGTAAAAATGTGGTAGTGTCACTCTGAATACAATAATCCAAGTGACCGTACAGTGTATACTTCTATAGTGTAAGGCATATATACCCTTACCAAAAAACAAACCAAAAGCCTTATCAATATTGCAGAGATCGGCAGCACACTTCCACAACTTTCCTCCAATCCTGAAAAGTACTCCTTAGGATGTCATCCATCCACCACATTCTCTGTCATGGCTTTAAGGAAGTACCCCATAGGACTCCAAAGTACTCATGCTCCATGCAAGTGATATATGAATAAAATATAGTGTAATTCCATTTCAAAATTTAACCTATATGCTTACATTCACATAATATCCCAAAAGCATATTCCATGCCCTTCAATCCTCCCTAGAGTCACCGAGCAGCTTCCAGCTTGTATGACGTGGATTTCCAATAGCCAAAATGGCCGATGCGCCACTTCTGGTTCCTCTCCTGTGAATCCGACGTCACTTCCCTTGACGCGTTTCGTTACATCTGGGACTTCGTTACCCTTCAGAGTAATTTATTACATTGAGCATGGCCATCAAGGTCCTCCAGAAAGAACACCCCCTACCTTGAGGGCAGACAGGAGCGGAAGACAGGAGCTTGCCAGGGTCCTTGCTGAAGGGTGCGGGTGCACGCTTGTGGATAGGCATGGAGCTGGGAGAGATGGTGAGCTGTAAGGGACCGGGCACGTGCGTTATGTCATTGGATGCTGGGATGACCACCCTTCTGAGCAATAGATCTGTCATTCTAGTCTGGCAGTCCGGGCTGGAGCGCTGCTTGGGCCTTTCTCAGACTGCGGTCCACTCTTTAGTGACCACTGGTATAAGGTATAGTTGTATGCACCTTTCTTGCTTAAATACATTTTCAGATCTTTAATCAAATGTTATAATATCTGCATGTCCCAGATGCAGTCAGTAGTATTGACACTGCAGGTTGTTTCTCATTACCCCTTGAAGGTTTATCTGTGTATCCTGGCAGTAGGTCTGTTATTTTTCTACTTTTGTGACAGGTTAAGTGGTTCAGCAGAAGTGACAGTTGGAGGGTTTGAGGCAAACTTATTACACTGGTGGGGTGCTTATATTGGCCAGCTCTTTTTATATGGTTTAAAGTCCACAGCATACTGTCCTCTGTTCCTGCGGTGTGACTTTGCATCTCTTGATGGACTCTGTCATCTTCCCAGGCTTTTTCTGGGTCCCTGGTTTTAGGCCTCTTGTTTGTTTGGCCAGTGGGGATTCCAGTTTTTTATTTGACACTTTTCCTGTCTTTCACGATTGATTTGATATTCAGTAATCAATAACAATCTTTCAGTAATAAGGTAAGTGAAGGTAAATAAGATCTCTGTGCTGGATCAAATTGTGTTGGATGTGTAGTATTGCAGACAAAATTTCTGGATTAGACATAAATCTCCTTCAACCTTACCCCTCACCCCCCAAATCTACTCTGCAGCAACACCCCTTCAAAATTGCGAGATTAGTAGACAATATTGATTGTCTACCGAACCTGCAGTTGTAGGATTACACTTGTTTGTGGATATGTTAAACTTGGAATGTTCCACCTCTCACCTTAGAGATATTAATCTGTAACCCTGTGACAATACTAGTTTGTTTTGGTGGTGTTGAGTAATCCTGTAACTGGAAACTCCAGTAAGTGTTTTGTGCCCATAAACTGAATTTGCAAGTTGGATGTTGCTTCCTTCAACATATTAAACGGCAAACCAAAAATGTTATATATTTCAGCTTGCTCATCCATGGATGTGGTGACTGCATTAACTACTTTTAAATGTGTTTTTTTTTTTTTTTTTTTTTTTTTTTTTTTTTTTTTCACTGGTGATCTGGCCAGTAAGACACTACCTGCTTTAGAGTGCCTACACTGTGGATGCAGGAGGGCAGATACCTTTTGGACAGCAGCATTGCTAATCTAGGGGAAGGGTGTGTTAGATGTGCTAGCAGATTTAGATGCACTAACAAATTGAGGCCAAATTCCAGCTAACACTGGTTAAAGCTTCGCTATGTGTGTGAGTGTGTGTACACATCCTGGTAGGGAAGCAGTTTTACCGGGATCATGGTTGAGGCTACAACCATGATCCCAGTATCGTTTGAAAGCCCCAGTAATTCTTTCATGTAAAAGTTATTGGAGTGGCTAAGCAGCAGCCGCCTAATTCCCTTTACTGGTGGCGGAAGGGAGTCCAACCCACCTCTTGCCACCACCTTTACCAGGCTCTTCCGAGCGATCATTGAACTTGGTATGGATGCTACTGGTGGCATCCTAAGCCCAACACAGTGAGAAACTGAAGATGTTCCTCCCACTGTGTTGTCAGAACCCGGCAGCAACTACAGTTTACTCCCAGTCTCTACCCTTTGTTCACTAGCCAGTTACCAGCCAGTGAAGCATCGATCAGACGATCTGTGTCTGTGCGAACATGCACATCAGTCTCACATGCATATGTAAACAGTGATTGCACCACACGTGAGCTATCCCCACGAACCTCAGACCAAGAGCAATAATTCTAGCACCAGACCTGTGTATATCTAAACTGGTAACCTGTAAAGGCTTTTAAAGCGTTGCTTTGGATAATTTAGTGTACCACAGATACCAAACATGTCACGCTTTAAAGTTGTGTATGTTCCTAGAATGGAAACTATTTACTCAGCGTAACCTCTTTTATATTTCACCAAAAAATTGCTATTATGTTGTGTTCGTGGCCACTAAAATTCATTGGTGTGACAAAAAAATTGCAACACCCATCTTTATTCTCTGGGACCTTTTCTTAAAGAAGTTTGGGGATCAAAGTAATTTTATAGCAATAAAAAGATAAATCTTACATGTAGGAGCATAGTTTCAGAATTTGGCTTGTGAAGCAAGTGGTTAAGCAGTTACAGAAACAGGTGTCTTGTGTGTGTGTGTGTTTTTTTTTTTTTTTTTTTTTTTTTTTTTTTTTTTCCTTAAAGGTGATCATTGTAAGTACAGGTTTAAACTCAAAAAATGAGAATATTGTGCAAAAGTTCATTTATTTCAGTAATGCAACTTAATAGGTGAAACTAATATACGAGATAGACTCATTACATGCAAAGCAAGATAGTTCAAGCCATGATTTGTCATAATTGTGGTGATTATGGCTTACAGATCATGAAAACCCCAAATCCACAATCTCAGAAAATTAGAATATTGTGAAAAGGTGCAATATTCTCGGCTCAAAGTGTTCCACTCTAATCAGCTAATTAAGCCATAACACCTGCAAAGGGTTCCTGAGCCTTTAAATGGTCTCTCAGTCTGGTTCAGTAGGAATCACAATCATGGGAAAGACTGCTGCCCTGACGGTTGTGCAGAAAACCATCATTGACACCCTCCATAAGGAGGGAAGCCTCAAAAGGTAATTGCAAAAGAAGTTGGATGTTCCCAAAGTGCTGTATCAAAGCATTAATAGAATGTTATGTGGAAGGGAAAAGTGTGGAAGAAAAAGGTGCACAAGCAGTAGGGATGACCGCAGCCTTGACTGGATTGTCAAGAAAAGGCCATTCAAAAGTGTTTGGGCATTTTCACAAGGAGTGAACTGAGGCTAGAGACAGTGCATCAAGAGCCACCACACACAGACAGATCTTGGACATGGGCTTCAAATGTCGTATTCCTCTTGTCAAGGCACTCCTGAACAACAAACATCAGAATTGTCTTAACCTGGTCTGTTGCTCAGTGGTCCAAAGTCCTCTTTTCTGATGAGAGCAACTTTTGCATCTCATTTGGGAACCAAGGACCCAGGGTATGGAGGAAGAATGGAGAGGCACACACTGCAAGATGCTTGAAGTCCAGTGTGAAGTTTCCACAGTCTGTGTTGATTTGGGGAGCCATGTCATCTGCTGGTGTTGGTCCACTGTACTTCATTAAGTCCAGGGTCAACGCAGCCGTCTACCAGGAGATTTTGGAGCACTTAATGCTTCCTTCCACAGACGAGCTTTATGGGGATGCTAACTTCATTTTCCAGCAGGACTTGGCACCAGCTCACGCTGCCAAAAGCACCAACATCTGGTTCAATGACCGTGGGATTACTGTGCTTGATTGGCCAGCAAACTCGCCGACCTGACCCCCATAGAGAATCTATGGGGCATTGCCAAGAGAAAGAGACTGAACAATGCAGAAGAGCTGAAGGCCGCTATTGAAGCATCCTGGTCTTCCAGCAGTGCCACAGGCTGATAGCTTCCATGCCACGCCACATTGAGGCAGTAATTGCTGCAAAAGGGGCCCAAACCAAGTACTGAGTAAATATGCATGCTTATGCTTTTCAGAGGTCCGATATTGTTCTATGGACAGTCCTTGTTTTATTGATTGCATGTAATATTCTAAATTTCTGAGATTGTGGATTTGGGG